AGGACTTTTCGACTCAGTTTTTTATTAGGAATAGCACTGTATGATTAGTGTACGTTATTTCAGATACATCCTGTGTATATATATATATATATATGTACAATGTTCATTTCGGATATGGCACTACACATATGACAGGATAAATAAATTTTTAATATAAATTAATTTTTAATCAAGGCGCGTTGCGAAAAACAATAGGATAACGACACCGTAGTAACAAGTACCGGTAATAAACGAATAAACATGCGCCTATATACAAAAATCTGTTTGAGAATACTGAGACGCCTGGGTTATAAGAAAATTACTTTAAATGTTAATCATTGCAGAAAATTTGCGGATAGACGTTTCCAATAGCACCCAAATACCAAGCGAGTAATGGATTCCATCGCCAAAAGCTTTAAAAATTAAATTTCTCGTACATAATTGACGCGAAATGTATCCGACCCTGAAGAATGGGCGCTCACATTATGACATACTTGCAGCATTGAACCCAGGCCGCTCAATAATGCTTGATATGCATTGTAAACCTGTCAGATAAATTTACAATGTAAACGAAAAGAAATATCTGAAAGTTGGAATAATGTAAAATAATGTAAAAATAATCTTGTCCATTGTCAAGATAATTACGTTACGCTTAAATCCGAGTCATATTGAATAATGGTAAAGCGTAGGATAAGAATAGGAGAAAAAGTTTTACCTCTGTATATGCCTGACACATTGCTTCATAAAGTGTTTGGTGTTGGCGAATGTGAGATTCAAGCACTGGAATTTCACTGGGTAGATTACTCATTTCGCACGCTTGACTCCAGCCAGCTACATTATCGACATACTGTTCCGCTTTATGATGAAACACTACACTTAAACTAAGTACCGCAGTACGTTCATCGAGACCTGCGGCAAATTCCTTCCAAGCTTGATCCAAACGTCCCGCCACCGCTCGTACATGCCCAGCCGCATAATGCTGTGTCTCCAGCAATTTTCCAGCCATTGTGAGAATTTTATTGATATTCACGTAAACATTCATCGAGCTCATTGTAAAATGTTTATGTTCCTCCTGCAAATTTTTGGCCAACTGATACGAGCGGCCAATCTCCACGTAACTGGCGAGAAATGCTTCTCGGTTGTGACAAATCCAATCAAACATTTTCTCGCAATCTTGCTCAAATAATCGCAGCTGAAAACATTGATCTAATTTCATCTTCTTGATGTGCCATAATTGTAAGAGATGCTGTTGCGCTGCGTGCACAGAATCCAAATGCTGAATAACCAAGGTAGCCAGTGCTCGTCCATCAGAATCTGTGCAACTTGCCGCGCCACAGTCAATACTTCCTCCTTCTCCACTGGTTGCTGTTGCGTCTGAAAACACATACATATATTTACATGCATGTATATGTTTACATTAATTGAAAGCGCACTTTGTACGTTTGTTATTATTGTTTCAAAAAGACAAAAGTGACAAATGCTCGCTAACCATTATTAAATCGCTGAAGCAAGCGTTGTCCAACAACTTGGATATCTTCCACTGGGACTTTGATGATTTTTTTTTTCATCTCATTATGTAGATCAATTCCGTGCTTAGCTCCCGCAACATCGTCAGCGAAGTCATTTCGACTGAGATCCTCTTGCAAGTCATCTAATCGATCGAGAAGATCTGCTGCCTGCCACGTAAAATCTTCCACAACTAATCTAGTATCGATCCACTGGGCATGATCGTATTGCAAGGATCCATCTAAATCTGCAGTGAGCTGAGAAGGATCTATAACTTTTACAAGAGCCTCTAAGCTGATTGTATTAATCTGAAATTAATGTAGTTTAGATTGATAACATTATAAATATCTATAAATCAGGATTGGGTGCCTACTTAAAGAGTTAAGTTGAAAAGTTAAATAACTTTAATTTAACTTTCTTGAAGTCAGCCATTCTGTCGATGAAAATAAAGGTGTTGCGAAACGCTGCGCGCCTATCAACAAGTAGATCTACATTATATGGAGCTTGATTCTCAAACTCGTATAAATTTGTTTGCATATGAAACTGACTCGTTTTCGACAACTTTCGAGAAAAATTGTCCGATAGAAATTTCAAAATAGCTTTATTACTTAAATTTAATAGGTATATGTAAACAAAATGTGTATCTAGAGTATCTTTCTAAACAAACCGAGAATTAAACTATTATATTTGTTATTTTCGTTAGTAATTAGTTAAAACGACTGAGACCCTGAAATCATGAACAGTGAAATAAATTTAACTTTTCAATTACTTTTTTTCATTAACTTAACATTTAATTCAACTAACTTTATTATGGATTAATCTGTATCTTAATTAAGTTAAATTTTCAAAGCTGTTAACTTTAATTTAACTTGATCCAAAGAAAAACTTAATCAACCTTATCCAACCTATGTATAAATATAATAGTTGAAGCATAATTAGAGTTAGATGCATACATAATAATTCAAATTTAATTACCTCAAAATTATACTTCTTCTGTTTACCCAATGAAGTTCTCTGTTTCTGCCAAAAGTTGTCTGGTTTAATAAGAAAAGCTACATGAACCGTGCGATGAAAATGCTCGTGTAACACCTAAAGATATTTATAAATTACTTTTACATTCGACATTCGCATGTAATTTCACAAAATCGTTACAACATGGGAAGCAAATGACATTTTGAAATACAGACATTAAGAAAAGAGATGTAACCTTTAAAATTGGTTTGACCGAGTCCCACGTTGTACCACGCATATCCACAATCACAGTAAATCGCAGGCCCCTGGCTTCATCACTCGGGATGGCAAACAAATATTGTAGAAGACGTCTGTAATCCTCGGGTTTTGCACGTTCGCGTCTCGGTGTGCTTGGAAACAGAAGCACAGGTCCTCCTCTACGATCCCTTCCACCTGGTAGTATTGCCAAACGTTCTTGCAGCAATGGCAATACTTCTGCTGCTCGTGTTCCATCCATTATCTTCTCGTTTTATTAAATGGTCATCATCTGCTTCCATTAATATAGAATTATAGAAAACAGACGTTTGTGTGATAGGTTTTAGCTTTTGTCATCATTTTTATAACTGTAGTGCAATAATTGCAAAATAATATATGATTATGAGAGTCTGTTTTTAAATAAAAATTATATTTATACTCAATAAAAATAGCTATATATAATTATGAGAGATCTGGCTCAGCTTCAAATATTAAAGCTACTTGAATAAATTTGTCTGCATTTAGCTTCTTAAGAAGAGCTACAATGTAAAAAAGGGATAATTATATATTATATAGAAAAGCACTTGCAATAGTCAAATTCAAGGTCATTTTATACACACACACACGCGCGCGCGCGCGCGCGCAGACACACACACACACACACTATGTATATATTTATACACCTAGTGCACACATAGAAAAAAAAATATATATATATATGATGTGTGTATGTGCATCCATAATACGCATATGCAAATAAATATAATGTACCAATTAGGGCGTCCGCGCCGCGCGTCCCATTCCTTCTACTGCTCCCTAAGTCCCTAATTGGGAAGCTCGCCGACTCGCCATACACGAGAGTGGAATGCGAGACACGAGAACTGTTCCTGCGGCGTGGGAGTGCGCGCACGATGTGATATCGGAATAGCAACCGCGTATCTATCACCTATCCTCAGGAATTGTCTGTCTTTCGCCGTCCTGTCACTCCACTCTGCTACCTCCCCCACCCTGTCAAAATACTATTGCAGCCTTTGGATGCCCCCCCCCCCTCTCTCTCTCTCTCTCTCTCTCTCGACTCGTGAACCACTACTCACAATTAAATTTTACCACCACACGTGGGAGATGGGAGACTAACATGAAGAAGATATGAAGGTGACCGCGACAAGTCCAATAAACTATTTACGACAATAAACCGCATGGTGTACGTGATGTATCATTTTATTCCTACTTACCGAATCGGTCAAACAACTATAAACTGATACCGTGCATATCATGCGCTTGACGAAACATAGCCACAACGTCATGGAGGGGGGAGAAGGCGGGGGAGAGAAGAGTGCAGGACAATCAATCTTATCAATTGTCTCATCCCTCTAGATACAGCGGCATGTCATAGATATTCGATTTTGTCGTGCCAAACCAAATTGCGTTTCATAACAATTTACCATCGACTATATAATGGAAGTTCTACAATGAGTGAATGAGTCGGTAGTCGGTAATCGGAAATCTTAAGCAATCTTAACCGTAGTTGTACAAGTTGGTTATTGGCTAATTTCGCCGATTAAGACTTTAAGGACTTCCGCCGACTACACAGACTTGTACAGAGACTGCTACAGACTCATAGCAGGAAATAAAACCTCGATAAAAGTATCGCTGAGACTCGAATGAATTGCCTAGACTGCGTTTCTCGCTGGCTGCCGCTTTCCCGAAAATTCGTGAAAAGCGACTCACCTGTAGAAAGCTCGTTCGCGCAAGCGACGACCTCACGTCTTTGTTTTCTGCCTGTGTGTTAGCGGGTCCGAGTTGGTGCGTCGGGCCAGCCGTTCATAATGTCGTTTCATCGGTGTCCACAACTATCACAAGAGTGGAGTCTCGAAATCATCACTTTATTACCATGTTCGTATAAACGAAAACGAGCTTCCAACACAACTTTAAGCTTCACTTCACTCTTCGTTCACCAAACCACACAGCACCCAGCACGCAGCACCATGCAGCCAAACCAAACTTTACCAAACCAGTCTGACCGAAACTGTTCAAGGCGATCAAGGGCACCAACCAAGTGAGCATGGTATAATGCTGCGTTCAGCAGAACGTTCGTTTTGCAACTATTGGAAGTTTCCTTGGAGCTGATTGGATCATACTTTTAGATCTAGAAGAATGGTCCTATCTCAGCAGACAATCATAAAACGGTTGCAAAACTGTTGAGTCTGCTGAACGCAGCCAGTATCGCCTTGCTGGTTGGTTGCTGCTGGTTGCTGCTCCGCTGTAACCAATTTTGTCAGCCAATCAGAAATCTGTCCAAAGTGCAAAAAGCAATATGGCTGCCTCTATGATACGGGACATGGGCCTGATTAGGGCCGGTATTCATAGTCAGATCTTAAATTTAAGATTGTCTTAAGTTCAGCCTTGAGGTATCATGAACCAATCAGAGAGCCGCATTAGCATTTTAAGACATTACTTAAGACGGTCTTGAAATAAGAACCGACTATGAATACCGGCCTAGGTTAGCTCTTACGCCGTAGTCGACATCGTGAATTAGTAAGTGGCTAAGAAATCAGCCAGCCAGAATTATACTCGTTCACAGTGACATTAAAAAGAGTAGGTCAGATGAATATCTGTAAACTGTAAAATATTATATAACAATTCAAATCATGCCAAATATATCAATTTTATATATTAGTGAGATAATGTAAGATAATGTTAGAAAGTTAGCATGTTAGCATGTTAGTAATGTTGTTATGATAATGTTAGCATGTTAGTAATGTTGCATTAGTAAGATAATGTTTAATAATTTCTTATGAATAATGTTTTTCTATTTCTTATTCGTAATCATTTAATCTTCTATATTACTATTTTACTTATTAATTTATTGATCAATGTATCTATTTATAATTATTTTACTTTTATTATGTATTTTTATTATTTTACGAGGCTTTTATAACAGTATTTTCATATTATATATTTACAAACGTTTTTATTTACATTTTTATCATACACATTTATCAATGTTGCCTTTGAAAATCGCGCTGCATTTTGGACAGATTCCTGATTAGCTGGCTTATTGCTTGGCCGCCATGATGCGCGTTGGTTCATCTGTCTTATTACATCATGATGGCTCCTGCACACAGAACGCGGCAACGCTTACCGCGCGGCGGAAGTTGTCACACTAATCAATAATTCTATAAAGCTCGATCAGACTACCGACTCTGCAAGCCGACCCGACTACCAACTCTGGGGTGCGTTCCAAAATTCATTCCGAGTAACAGAGTTTAACTCTACGCCGTTCCAAAACGCGAGGTAACCATATGGGCGGAGCCTATTCGTTCCAAAAGTATGAGTAAATCTACCTCGGAGTCAACTCTATGAACCCTGCTTCCGAGGTGGGTTGAAAGAGTAAGTGCGGCAAACGAAATTTGAATATTGAGATGATGCAACACACGAAGCGAGACGCACACGTCCGTCCCGTTCGAGCGGTCTCT